GTCTAAAAGCATTTTTTGCATAATAAAAGTTGCTACCTAAACAAAATATAAGAAAATTCAGTAAAATAATCATTTCAATGGTCATAGGAACATAATAGCATGGCCAATTTGGATAATACAAAATCAGATTAAACAAATTATCTAAGTGGAAAGTGAATCAGAGAAAGTATAATTCCAAAAAGTAAGGCAATAAACTAAATTGACAGCATAGTATATGACAAAATGGAGGAAAGATACAAAAGTACAAGATATGAAAAGATTTGTCTTACAGTTTTGCTCAGTTCTGTGCCGGACTCCATAATTACAAGACAAAGTGGAATTATTTCTGATCCCAACAAAAAGTTTATAACATCAGGTTCGTCAGTCTATATGAGAAGAAAAAGAGAATTAAGGGCAATCGCTTTTAAAAAAAGGCGTTAAATGTCAAACTTGCCTTGACCAAGGCACCAATTACACCAAGACTGGTAAGACGTAAGTACTCGAAAGGTCTATTCTTGTTATTTGTATTTAAAAAGGTATATAGATACAGAGGTATGTTGGCTCTGAGAAAATCTGTTCGAGTACTAGGGTGCGAGGCTATGCATTGAAGAAGAGCGAGAGCATTGCAAACTCGATTGCTTTGAGTAGCCTATTAAAATATAGGTAATTTTAGAATATTACAGTAAGTCTAGGTGGATTTAAGTAAGGGTATATCGCACATATTTCTTGAAGTAGTGCTGCGATTGCACCACAGGAATGCCATAGTAGGGGTGCCAGCTCGGCAACAGATTCACGTTTTTTACTGAAAATATACGTTTAAGTTGACTTTACCATAGTTCAGAGAGAGCAGTCTCACGATTCTCAGAACTTCTAAGGGCAGCAATCCATTTATATACATTTTCAAGCTCGGTTGAGGCAGAGGTGTTCGACAAAATGCGACCGGGAGGCGCACCCACACATTGAAACAATGGATTAACACCTGAATTAAAAACTGATCCACTTAATGGCTGCATTGAAGGAATATTATTGGTAAAATGACTGTGTAAAAATGAAGCAATGATGGAAAATAAAGAGAACCCAGAAGGCACATTAAAACGAGTGCGCCATTGTAAGCAACAATAAAACAAAGCAATCGCTATAAACACAAAGTAAAAGTTAAATTAAAAGTATGAAGTATACTCTATAGGTAGATCTAAAAATATTTAATATTAAAATAAAAAATATATTTAAGTATCATAACTGTTTAAATATATGATTCTTTAAATGCTTACGATTAAATCTAACATAAATGATTACTAAATATTTCTGGCAATCTAATTTGCTCACCGTCTGACGATAAAGCTTAGATTTTGACAACTAGGCAATTGATGCATAATAAATAGGTTGGAGAGTCCTGATCTTTGAACCAAACTCTTACTGAAGAGGGTTGACCTCGTTGTTGCAACTTGGTTTTGTTGTCAGGGCGAATTAGGAGAACGTAACTATTCCGAAGTCGTCTACCATAGTATTTTTCATGAATCATAGCATCTAGCGGTAGACTTGGTAC